GAATCAGCTCTTTCCATAAGCAGGTTGTGCCCTTGAAACAGAGCAAAGCTCTCCTGCTATCTAGTTTGGATGAAGACAGAGTTACCACACTGCTAAAAGGAACTGCTGAATGTTTCTCCATACTTTGTTTTGAAATTTTTAACCAGACATATTGTGGCAATCACCAGCAGCTGGCAGAGGCAAGAATTGTTACTGTTGTTTTTTGACTGTTAGTGAACTACACCACCAGAAATATTTAAAATGTCTTTAACAGGGATGGCTTGTGTATTTTAGATATCCTTACAACCTTAGATTCTTACGACTGCACATGGAAAGACACTGACAAAGGTGTCCTAGAAGCAGTTTTTCAGGAAGCACAGATCAGCATTATTTTCTTGACTTCATGTATCCAGATTTGCAGCCTGTGACAAGACCTATGAAATCTAATGAAAATGCAACCCTTTCCAGGGAATGTGCTGGTTGATTCTTTTCTTCCTTGTATTAGGGATTTATTACTTTTCTTCCTTTTTTTTATTTTGCTTTTCTAACAGAATTCTAAATTCTGTGAGGTTTACAAAAAGAAGCACTTCAACATTGTAATGAGATTTTACCCTTTTAGGATTTCAGAAGAGAAAAAAAGGAAGGTCTTATCTGTTTTAATTCACACAAAGGACTCTAATGAGATGCTCAGTACTTTTGACACAACTTTTGAGAGTTAAGATAAAAACATAACCTCATCCAAAATCTTCAAAATTTGAACTGAAAAATATTGAAAATTGATTTGTAACCTTATTTATGGCAGATGGCAAAGCACTGAACATTATTTCAGATAAAATCTTTCAAAAAGACTGCGAGGAAGAACATCACACTTCTCTCAAGGCTACATGTCCTTCCTGATATAAAATACAGGGACAAGGGATGAAGGTGGAGGAACAGGCACAGCAGAGGTACTACCATTTCCAAATTGTCCATGTTTTTACTCACCTGGTTCCTCTACTGCAGATATCTGTGCATCTACAGAAAGGCAAGCATCCCACTGCCTTTCCAGAGCCCAGGAATGATGCTGCAAAAGGCCACAAACAGGGACAAAAGTAGGAACAGTTTCATCCTTTTTTTATTCTAGTCAGGTTCCCAGGAAGAATATATTCTGTTCACATGGAGCAAATACAGGAAAATGCTGAAACAGTAAAATGCACTCCACAGTATTAGCCAATATTCCCAAAGTCCTTTACTGATGAAAAAAACTCTAACTTATTTCCAATACCTAATCTGTTGAATCATCTTTCTCTCCTTCCCCACCCCCACTTTTCTCTTTGGAGAGAACTGAAACTTTAAGAGATTTTTCCCCAGTAATAAGTGGAATTTTATGGTAGAACCAGAAATAAAACTAGGTCTTCTTGATTACTTCCTAATACAAAAGCAACAGGAACTAATCATTCATTGCCCATAGAATTATCTGTCTTTTTCTTTTTTAAACTATGTGCAAGTATATATGAGTCAATATTAACAGAGAACTGTTTTCCCAGGTAACCTGCACCTGTGATTTCTTCTCACTAAGACTGCTTCACTCAAGACCCTTTTTGCTCCCATGTTCTCTCCCCACCTGTTGCCATCCCCACAGCACAGCAGTGAGGAAGATGAACTGCTGCAGACACTCAACTGGCTCCTTTGCCTTTTTTAGTGCCTCCAAAGAGCTGGGAAAAGTCAAAGAAAGTGAACCTATTGTCTGAATCCCTTCCCATTTAAACTGTGCACGACGAAGCCCTGGGTCTGATGAGGAGAACTACACTCCAGCTGTTTCAAATACAGTAGCAACATCAAGGGTAGCCACTGCAAATCCTGATTTTTTTACTGCCCCTTCAAAAATAACTTCTACAAGTTCTTTTTTACCACATGTAAACTGAGCTTTTTTCTTGGCTCTTGGGAATGAAGGGCAACCTTGTAATTTGAGTAAGAGGAAGTCTGGAAGTGTGCTCTCCCCAGAGACCTACAAAGGAGTAGCAACCGAGCCGCTGTGCCTGTCTTGTGCTTGGGAGAGGGAATATACAGCTTTGCTTCCTTCTGCAGGCACTGAGCCAGGCAGTCTGGTCAGGAAAGCAGTGTGAGCCAGAACAAATTCTGTTCCCCATGGCCTTCCAGTTGCTGCTTACAAGGCAGTATGAGGTGAGCAGACTTCCTCTTGCCTGGAGGCACAATGCCCCTAGCTAGCCTGGGACAAAAACGTGTTACAGGCACATGTAGTGATAGGTACTCTGACACACCTGTACACCAACAACCTGCTCATAAAGTCTGATGTAGCAATGACAGAGGTATGATGAGTTAAATGACAGGCTGGGTTCCTTCCCATTACTGTGTCAGCCAGCTGAGGAAGAGCCAGCATGGGCTTTTTATGGACCAGGCTTGTCAAACATTCCATGTGCACAACCATCATACCTTTATACTCCAACTCTGTCAAAGGCAAACCAGACTTGGACACAGAGAGAATCTACATTTAAATAGCACTGGATTAATTTAAGAAGCACTTAAGAAGGAGATATGAAGGAAGCTGATGATTAATTGGAGGGTTTCTCTCAATTTTTCTTTCTGTAAGTATTTTGAAATACCCCATTTGCTTTAGAATAGGTGATAGAGTACTGCACCTCTAAGGTGTGTTACTGAATCACAGTCAGACTCAGCATTTTCTTTCAGCAGATGCACAGAAGCAGAGTACTTCAGTAAGAATTTAAAGCAAAGAGGTTCATCTTCTCTTAATTAACCCATGGAAGTTCCTGCACCATGCTCCTCTGAACCCAGGAACCCTCTCATGGACCTGCATTATTTTGCATTTTCCTAATAGTTTAAAATGTATTCTTAAGAAGACTCTCTGCCTGTCTAGGACTTCATTATGATCTAAAAAGAGACTGGCAATGATGCAAAAAACTTTATTTGCCTTATATGTATTCCCTAAAGTTATTTTTAATCTCAGCTTTTATTTCTCTAGTTCTAATAAAGATCCTGTGTTTTTCTTTAACTAGAAAAGTATGGGAGAGACAGATGATCTATCATTGAGGGATGACAGATCCACTTACCTGTGCAGAATAGAAAAAAAATCCTACAAATTTTCTACTGTAAAACTCTGCAAGGATTTTTCACATGTGCAAAGAACTGCAAATTAGCAGGTCAGGGAACAGAACGGGATGAGACATGAAGGTGGGGATTGTGATGACACAGAAAAAAAGAAACCACCTTCACCTGTAATGCATGAACAAGTTATCAGTAAATTAGTCCCTGACCACTGAGATAATGGTTTCTAAATGGTGTGGGAATTAACTTTATTCTGCTGCCGTTTATGCTCTTACTTTATTCCTCAAAGACCTCCTAGCTGGTCGATACTTTAATCCTGCAGTTCCTTTTTCCTGTAGCTGCAGTTCTGAGGTGACTAAAAGCTCCGGTCAGCTTAACAAAAGGCACCAAACTCTTGCCTTAAGTCTGCATTATGACTAATTTAATTGCTCACAACTTCCTCTATTTCCTTAGGAAGTGAACAGCTCGTGGTTCCATTTTTCCAAAAAGCAGACGCATTAAGTCGTCCACATTTCATCTAAAAATTTAGGGCTGTATTAAGGAAAAAAATCATCAGGCTACAGAAGGAAAGTTTGCTTCCTGAGGAAGGGAGTTTCAATGATTTCCAATAGGTAATTTTTCCAAATTCACAGACTCCCTGTGATACCTACTGAAATGTTTGAGTAGAGAGACAAATACATACAACCTCTAAAGCAAAGGAAAAAAAAAAAGATGAGATAAAAAAAGAGAAGACTACAGAACAAAAGACAAAGAAAAAACAGGCAAAAAAAAGAAATACTAAAAAAAAAGGAGGATAAAAAGTCATCACCTTCAAGACTCTCCATGTATAAGCTGCTCAGCAGGGAATTTGAGAACTGGCACTGCCAGCACAGGGAAAGAGCACAGCAATGAAGGTCATGGCACAAGACAGCCGGGCGTGTATCATTTTCTCCCTCCTTCCAAGGACACCATGTCAGGACAGCTGTCATTCAGAGGATGCTCATTCAGCTCCTTCTGGTCACTGCTCACCACAGTGACCTGCCAGGCAGGTGTCTCAGTGCTGTCAGACACAGTCATGCTCTTTCCCTCTGCCTGAGCTTGCTCACCAGCAGCTGCTCCAGTTGGGATTTATGAGACACAGATCCTCTTCACATTCACTTTAAGAAGAAGCCTGCAGGTACTGCCACATTTATTACTTCCTGACCTTCTTTTAGTCCCATGCTGTTATTTAGCCTGGGACTTCTTTCTTCTCTTGACAGCTGCCTAGACAATGCAATCCTGAAACAGGAATGGGGTTTGTTTCTAGGCATAGTCCCAGCACTAATAGCTACTGATGTGAGTTTCCTTTGTCCCCACCCATGATAGGTACATCTGCCCATAGGCTGTAAACTCATGTTTGATGACATGTTGTTCACTAGATAATTACTCAGTATGACATGGGAGTTCACAGCTATATGTGACTTCCCTGTTTGCCCAGTCTAGCAACTGAAGATTTGTCTTTCCAGCAACACTTCTCTGCCTTCAGGTGAATACAGGCCAACACCATCTTCTTGCAGATGTTTTTATATGAAAACTTACTGTGAATTTTGAATACATGGACTCAAGTGATGCATTATACCTGGCAACAGGTAACTACAGGGGATTTTGTGTGCCCATATTGAGAGGTCTTTGAAATCCAAATCTTTTGTGTTTACCATTTCAGAACTGGAAAATTAACAATGGCACAGGTTATTGGACCCAGTCACATAATTTACCAGACTACACCTGAAGTTTGAGCCTGGGGCTAAGCACCCTGAGAGATGTAGGTGCAAAATGTTCAGTGAATCAAGCAGCAGTATAGGCTTGAGATAAAACTTCATTGCCATGGAACTTCCCAATCTGTAGTTCACAACACAGAGAACAATTAAGAGTTAATCATTTATATTCCAGTGAAGAAAAAAAAATCCCTCAAAACTCATTCAAGTGACTGACTGCTTGAGTCTCATTCAATCAGAGCTTTTCTTTTTGTTTTCCAAAGGAGGTCCCCAGTGATTTTATAACAGACTCAAAACTCTGGGGCTGAATGGAAAAAAAAAAACCCTGATAATCTAAGATGTTTGGTTGAGCTATTCCAGATATACCCTGGTTTAATCAGCAGCAGAATTTAGCTCTTCTTAAGAAAATATAAAAAAGCTTGCATGTTGCAACAGGAAAGGAATTAACAGAAATTACATCAAGTCCAACCCCATGTAGTCTATGAATACTGGAGTTTTCAAACAGGTCATATGATCTAGTGTCAAGCAAAGTATCTGATGAGAAAATAAGTAGGAGACAAAGTAGGGAATTTAAATTGTATTTGATTCTGCTTTTACTTACACTGCTGTAAATTTACACCAGCCAAAAATCTGACATGTGGGACATAATACAGGAGAGTATCCTGGAAAAACCTACATGTAACTTCAATAAATGAATAATGCACTTTAACATACTGACAACAAAAAAGACAAAAAAGGAAATAAAAGTTAAGTGGAGTATATGCTAATCTGCATTTAGGAAAATGCTTTCACTGCAGAATATTTTAAGTTCCAAACATCCAGGGCACTGTGAAATGAAAATTTCCTTTTTTTACTTAGCCTTAGAAACATTTCCTAAATATTTGCCTGTCTGATAAATTGTATAATTTTGTCTTTGCTTTATTAAAAAAAATACAATACCATTTACTGATTGGATGGATAACAAAGAAAAAACAACAATTACCCAGAAATCCCTAATGGGGAGCATAAGCTTTTTTTAAAGTATTTCTTTCATTACAACATAAATTGGGAGTACATAAAAAGCTTTACCTATATATGATCCAAAAATGAAACTATTAATACATCAGTTACACATATAATTCACCTGAACTGTGAACAGTGTCTAAAGAATTTGCATTAATCTGTTGAAAGTGGCAGCACTGACATTGTTATTTCATGATTTCACAGATTTGTCCAGGGTTTATCCACTAAGACTTTAAAGCAGCAAGAGACTCCTGCAAAAGCTAGCTTATTAAATGCTGCGGTGGTTTGAGAAGCATTGCAGGTGTAAAATGGTAAGAAGGAGCAATATAATTGCTAAAAATCTAACTGGTTCCAGAAATATTAGGAAAAAACCTGGCCCTATAGTCATCACTGCCTCAAATACCAACTGTGGTTTCCCTTCCCTGCTATTTGTTTCAACTGGAGATACAGTAGGTACTTTTGACTCTGAATTCATCTCTTCCCTCCCATCCCTCACTCCCATTTCTTTCCTTTGAGTAATTAATGAAAGTTAGTCTCCGAAGTTGTATGCTGTTGCAGTTTAGCCCCAGCCAGAATCTCAGCTCCACACAGCCACTCACTCACTCCTCCCAGTGATTTGGGGAGAGAATCAGAAGGGGGAAATCGAGAAAACTCATGGGTTGAAAAAGACAGTTTAATAACCAAAGCAAAAGCTGCATCTGCAAGCAAAGCAGAACAAGGAATTCATACACTGCTGCTCATGGGCAGGTAGGTGTTCAGCCATCCCCAGGGAAGCAGTGCTCCAACACACATAGGGGTGACTTAGGAAGACAAACCCCATCACTCCAAATGTCCTCCCTTGCTTTTTCTTCTCCCAGCTTTATATGCTGAGCATGGCAACAAATGGTCTGCAATATACCTGTGGTCAGCTGTCCCAGATGTGTCCCCTCCAAAGCTCTTGTGCACCACCAGCCTCCTTGCTGGTGGGGTGGGGTGAGGAGCAGAAAAGGCTTTGTCTCTGTGTGAGCACTGCTCAGCAACAACGACAGCATCTCTATTATCAGCACTGTTTTCAGCACAAATCCAAAACACAGCCCCATAGCAGCTACTGTGAAGAAAATCAACTTGGCCCCAGCCAAAACCAGCACTCCTGCTGACTCCCAATACCAGTGGGTTCATTCCAGCAGCTCCCAGTATTCAGTAGGCCAAACCAAATGAAACGTGTGTGATCGCACACTCTGAGCACACAGTTTTACTGAGCTTGTGTGTCAATCTCTGCTGTTAGTAGCAGTACTATAAAGTCAGAATAGTTCCAGTAACCTAGTCAATGCATGGAACTATTACAAACTTGCACTACATTACCTCAGAGCAGGAGCTGAGGCAGGACATAGGTAAAAACATACTTTGCTACAATAGTACTCAGACTCATACTCAGGTAAGAGCCAAACAGAGCTGTTCTGCTAAACCAGTACCAATTCAGATTGCAAAACAACAACAGAAAAAAGACAAATTAATAAAATGCTTTTTACTACGACTGCTCAACAGTACTACTGTTTCCCCTTGTGTTTTCTTAAGTTTCCCAGGAGCAATGCTACTGTGAAAAAAGTCCAAAGATAGGATTCTGTCTAGATCTGGATTAATTCCAGCAGAAAACACTACATATCAGTCCAGACACTAGGCACCAGCACCACTGTTAAGTTTTATGATAATGAAGGCTAACCCATTTATGAAGCAGTCAATGGAATACATGATGTAAATCAGGAAAAGCAATAGCCACTCATGAATAGTGGTAATTGGGATACAGCACTCTGAGAGCCAATCAAACAGCACAGGAGAGGTATGGCTTTCATGTGAGTAATTTATTCTTTCTTATCACTTCAAATTTTACCAGGTTGTTTATTTACAGAGAAACTTTCTGTGGATAGAATTTACATCAGCAACTGCACATTTTTAGCTGTTAGTAGGGTATGACTAACATCCTCCCCATGTTGCTTAACATAGCCAGTTTTGATCAAACAAGATTATTCTTTTGCCAATTACTTTTTTGACTTAGTCTCAAGTGTAAACAGAATCTGTACATGATTTTGCTGCAATGAAGATTTCTATTTTACAGAACCAGTTAGTAGATAGAAACAGAAAAGTTTCATCTGTTAATAGTACTTCTTTATTGAAATCAGGATTTAGTTTTAGTTCAATGAAGGCTTTAGGCATTTCACTGTTAGGTACTGCAACACCTCTTTACTAAGGTGGCACCCCTGAGAAGAATCCAAATTACCTGTCTGGCCTCCCAGTATAGCCCATGAAGTAGCTCACCTCAGACTGGTAACCCAAAACATAGAGCCTGTCTGCAAAAGCTCTCCAAAGAAAACATGTCTGATTGTATCAACTCGTACTAAATCTATGCTGAATTACCCATCCAGGAGGTGGGGCCTGGAATCTACTCAGAACTTTATGTGGAGGTGTGTGAGCTTCTGGAGGATTTGCATGAAGCTCACCCCTGAGGAAGAGCCACAGGAGGTGGTCCCAATGTACCTCTCCTGCACAGCCACCGAGGTTTGACAATGCACGCACTCACACACAAACTGCAAGGCCCCAGTCCAGTCCTCACTAAGCTTATAGGAATTCAAGCCTAAATTCTCTAGCAGACAACCTTGAAAACAGAAGTAGTCTAGGGAGGAAAAATTACTCCATGAAAAATTAGGGCAACTATCTCGTGTGTCTCATTAAAATGGGAGGACTGAAAGATTCAGGGGGAAGAAAGACTGCAGGGCAGACTATGTCTCTCTAGCTAGTCTCAGATCACACACTGAGGATGACTACCTTGATGACTACTGTGACCAGCTCCAAGAGTTCTTTTAATCTATTGATAATCAGAGGGTGGAAATGTGGACTGAATGCTTGCAGGCTAAGAAAGTGCACACAGGTCTTCATGTTCCTATGCAAATATGGTACACTTCAGGCTACTCTAGGAAAAATGGCTGTTTTAAAAGCAAAACACACAGGCAAACACAACTTGAGGGTGGCCTGGCCTTTTGGTCTGTACCTAAATTAAACCCTATTATATCAGTGGTTTCTGGATATCCCACTTGGTAGGTAGGTGTGGAACTGCTCTGAGCAGCTCCAAATGGGTGGAGGGGAAGTGCTCAGCAGCTCCACTGTCAAAGAGACAGTTGTTGCTAGGTTTAAGTAAAACTGTAGAGTTCTGGAATGACATTTTCAATCCTTAAATGCCTGAAGACTATCTCAATTATGGTTTTAGTTTGGAGGCGGGGGGAGTTTGTGAAGATAGAATTGGGGGAGAAAACAATTCTCAGCAAACCTGCCTCAGGCCTTCCAGGGAGGAAACAGAGGCCACAGAGTAGGAAATCTGGCTCTGCTGTTAATCATCAGGCTGTGACTATGCAGTGTACAAAGGAAACAGATTTGACAGACAGCTACTAATGAAGCCCAGACTCTCCCCACTGACACTGTGTACACAGTGAAAGCAGGTAAGCTTTCACTGAATCAAGTGATTCAACTTTTTTTTAAAATAGGAGCTAGCAAAAACACAAACACTACAGGTTTTTTTAACACTTATTACTGTAGAAATGCATTTCTTCATAGTGTACAGCAATAAATACTGGAAGAAAGGATATGATTCATTCTATCCCAAAAATTTGTGGATTATTGTCACATCTTAAACCATGGAAACTTCTCAAAACTCATTCAGGAGCATTTTCATGCATTAGCAGAATAAAAATGCTTTATTAATAGAAATGCAAAACCTGCCTTGACACCTCACTACACTGTAGCATAAGAACTATACTACGTAAATCCTTGAACTATGAAATTGTCTCCTCGTATTGCAAGATAAAACAGATGTTTCCTTGTGTTCCTGGTGATGCTACGATTTCAAAATCTGGCCTACCACTTACATCTCTAGTTTAAGTATGCACCTAAGCCTTGCATTACACAGCTTGAAATACTTTCTACAGTTAACATAAAAATTAGGCTGAAAGCAAACATGTAATTTTTCTTTCCTGCTCAAGCTACAATGGTGTAATTTAATCTAGAGTCAATATTTCCAAGGATTCTCATCTGAGAATTAAATCAAATATTCTGTGAAGGATGTTAAATTCCACTGCACCAGCCTGTACTGAGGCTAAGATAAATGTCACACTCCACAGGCCTACAGCTCCTGCCTGGCTGATGCTTTAATTTGCTCACTAGGGAACAGGCTCACTTGGCTAAGAACTTCTAGGACTGGACCACTGTTTTCTGTAGAATGACTAACCAGATCAGCTGCGTTAAAACCCTGTGCAACAACAACGAGAAGAGAAAAAAACTCCAAACAATAAAGAGAAGGAAAGAAGTATCTATGAAGTTCACTATTCTCTTTTGTACAGATGGTGTCTCGTGGGACAGAGCCTGCTGCCTTCCTTTGGAACTAGCAATTATGTGTACGAATGCTAAAGTCCTGTTTAACAAAAACATCTTAATAAAACATAAAAAGATCTGCTTTTTTCGATGCAAGGTCCCTATGTCTTTCTAAAATATGAATCTATACTAGAGCTTTGAGTATAAACAATTCTCTTCCACAGTCTATGCGAGTTCCATGCTGAATATACAGCATTGTACCAGCAAAAACACAGGTCCTTTTTTCAGAAAAGGTTTCCCAGTGATTTACTATAAAGCTAAAACATTTGCCTTGCCTACTGATTTTTTTTAAAATATAAAATGTATAAAATAAATGCATGTGCCCTTTTCAATATAGTCGGTCTGTGTAGACATTTCATGTTTTCCAGTTCTGAGTAACGTGACAAAAAGTGTGCTCCAACTTCCCACAGGCAGGAAGAAGTTTTGTATGGTTCTGCCACATTTGGATGCTGCCCCACAAACAGCACGCTTGGGCAGTTTAGAATCACAACGACAGCGTACGGCATCAGCACGTACTGCAATTAACAAGGACTTATTGATTACAGCAATCATTAGTTCAAAATAAATAAAGCAGTCTCTCAATCAAAAGACAGGGAAGTAACATCATGCTAGAGCACAATATAATCAATATGTGTAGCACATTCCTATTTTCCATGTCTCCTTTTGATGGTCTTGAAAAGAAGTGGGAAAGGCCTTTTGCCACAGGTTGGTTTAGGTTATCCTTCCTTGACCTGCAGTTAATTAAAGAGCATATGAAGTACAAAGTTTTTCCCCAGCTCTAGTGGCATACATGGTAATGTCAATTGGTTGCAATTTGAACAGCTTCAGTTCATTTTTAATTCAAAATCTCTGATCAAGAAAAGTAATAAAACAGTATCTTTTCATACAGAAACATTGCCTTTTTCAATTAAAGAACATATCAACATTTCATATCTACCATAAAATGCCACATTTTAGAAAGGTAACTTGACTTTTTTTTCTTTTCATTCCAAGTAAAACATGTGGCTCGCATTTGTGTTACTTAAAACATTGAGTTTGGTATCTGTTAAATCATCTGTGGTTGAAATTCCTGGGACTAATACAGTGCCACAGCTTCCTTAAACCATCTATTGCACCAGAAATGAAAGGCTGTGATGGAGATGTTCTTCCTATAGTTTTTAAACACAGGAAATAGTTGGTTTAACATGAAAACAAATGCAGCTAAACTATGTTGCCAGCAATGTTTATCCCTCAGTATAATCCCAGAGGGGGAAAAAACCACAAATGACAGAAAAGGCTCCAAGCCCAGATTGCAACTATGTGTAAACACACAACCAACACTCATGTCCCATTATGACACTGTTGTCAAGAATATTTTGGAAATTCAGGTTTAAAAACATTTTTCTCAGATTGGGGATTGGCACAAACATAATCCAGAGATTATCCTTTATAGCAGCTTTTACTTTTGTGTGCTTGGCTTTTCACACAAAGCCCAGCAAACATGTGAAGAGTTACAACTGAGTTAAAACCAGCTCAACATCTTGATAGTAGAGAGAAGGAAAGGGGAAGTCATTTTTCTCTGCAGACACAACAAGAGAGGATCCCCTCTATAGATGGGAGTTTGCGGATCTGCAACCCAACTCCCCTGTCAGGAAGCCAGAGCCAGGCTGGCCGCCTTACAGTGGGAGGGAGCCCTCCTGGTCCCCTGTTTTGTCCAGCCTCTCAGGCAGGGTAAGCACGAAGGGTAGGAGGACACCCTTGGCATCCAAGGGAGCTTTGAGAAGCTCCCCATCAAAGGTGCCCTTGAGCCCCCCATCTGCTTCCACCTCCCCATCCTGGGCTAGGCTGAAGCGAAGGGTGCCGGTCCGGTTGACGCAGTAGATGGTGTTGCCCAAGGGAGCACAGCGGAAGGGCTGGATGGGGCCGCCGCTGGGCCGCAGGCTGGCGCACTGGCTCCAGCACTTGGCCACCGTGTTGTACCGGAAAACTTCAACGCCGCCGCTCGTGCCGCCGCCTGGGCCCTGCTCCCCACCACGGCCACTGCTCACATCAAAGCGGTAGATGAAGCTCTTGAAGGCCACCATGTCAGCGGAGCGCCGGCGGCTGCTGTTGTAAGGGCACTCCTGCCACTCGTCACGCTTGGGGTCGTATTTGAGCAGGCGGTAGAAGAGGGAGCCTCCTGACACATAGATCTCCCCGTTGCAAGTGGTGGCCTCGTGAGCCACAGCAAAGGCACCCTTGGGCAGAGGTGCCACAGGGCTCCAGCGGTCGGCCCGCGGGTCGTACCTTTCCACAGTGAAGAGGCACTCGCCCCCCACAGCATAGAGGTAACCATCCAGGGCCAGCAGCTTGAGCTGCGAGCGGGGCTGAGCCAGTGGCCGCACCTGGCTCCAGGTGTCAGTCAGGGGGTTGTAGCAGAAGACCTTGTCGGAAAGGCGGGCCCTGGGCTCGCTGCCCACCGGCCCAGTCACAATGCCCCCTGCAAGGAAGAGGTAGTTGTGGAGGACACACATGGCACAGCCCTTGGCATTGGCCTCCTCGGGCAGGCACGTCAGCACCCTCCACTCACCGCTGCCCTCCTGGTAGTAGTGAATGAGGGAGCCACTCTCCTCCAGAGACACCACGGAGGAGGGACTCTGTGGCCGACTGCTCTCGCGGCTCTGTGGCCGGCTGCCACCACCCGGCCGCTCGAAGGCGTCGCTGACCTCGGCCACCAGCAAGCAGGGCCGGCCGGCATCCATGCGCTGCTGCAGGATGAGGTCCCGCTCAGCGCCACTGAGGCGGCCGTAAACGCTGGGCTCCCGCAGCACCTCCAGGTAATGGTCGCTCATGAAGCGATAGGCAGCCTCCCGCAGCTCCGCCAGCCGCTGCTTCTTGGCCAGGCAGAGGAGCTGGTAGCAGTTGCCGAGGCAGAGCTGGGCGCGCATGGCCTCGGCGGCACAGTGCAGGGCACAGGGCATCTGCAGGACGCGGGCGCCGCTCACCACCTCGGCCAGGTTGTCGTGCCGCACCTCGCCCATGCGGGCCGTGTACACGTAGTCGATGAGCAGCCGCAGCGCCCCGTAGCTCACCCCCTTCACCCGCAGGACGTCCCGTGAGGCGCGGGCACGAAAATAGTCACTTTTGGCCGCCAGCACCGACTTGTGCGCCCGAATACGGCGGCCCGACACCTCGATCACCAGGTCGGGCTCCTCCGGCGGCCGGTCCCGCGGCCCCACCACCTCCTCATCCTCCTCCTCCGGCTGGCAGGCGGCGTTGTTGATCTCCCACTGGTTCTGCACCACTCTGCCGCCGGCCGCGGGCGGCTGCGGCTCGGCAGCGGCGCCGCTGAAGCAGAGGGAGGAGCTGAAGCCGCAGGGGGCGGCCGGCGTGGGCGGCGGCGGCGGGGGGGGAGCGCCGTCCGCGGCCCCGCTCTCCTCCTCCTCCGGGGCCGCGCCGCTGCCCTCCATGGAGCCGCGCTACCTGCGCCGCGCCCGCTCCGTGCGCAGCGCTGCCGGCCGCCGCGGCGCGGCCATCACCTGCGGGACAGACACGACAGCGCTCAGCATCCGCGCTTCTTCCACCCCCCGCCTCCCAGGATTACTGTTCGGGACCGCCGCTCTCGCAGGCGGGGCCGCCTCTGGTTTCCGGGGCTAAAGCGCCGCTTCTCCTTTCCCCGGGGATCCACCCTGGGGCTCGGCCGCCTCCCGCGCTCACTGCGCTAGCTCAGCCCCCCACAACCCCAGCTCCTTTGGTGGGACGGGGCATCGCCCCGATGAGCACCTCAACAGCAGGAAAAGAAATCCTGGTTTTCCCGTTGCTCTGCAGAAATTTTAAGCAGTCTGCAGGCACTGCAATCCTTTTCAAGATGACTGGTCCCTACGCTGCGCTGGGTGATGAGCAGAAGTCTCCTTCAACGGCAGATACTTAGGAGTACTACATTATGTATTCACCTTGTGCAAATGTTTCACTGGAAGGCTGAGGCTGCAGTCTATTCTGCAAGGCGATTCCCCACTAGCCAAATTTGACTTTGCATGACCTTCAGGAAGTTCTCTTCATATCGGTGTTCCTCATATGCATTCCCCCTGTTTAAAACAAAAATATTATTTTTAAAATCGATAGATTCTCTGTTTAGTTAGAAGTTTGGGAATCTTAAAATTATGTCTCCTTTAATAATATATCTAGAATATCTTAAAGACACTGTAAGTATACTAATAATCCTAAGTGTTTATGAAACACATGAAAGTATTTTTTCTGTACTCAGGACAAGAGCAATCTCACATTTGTGTAGCAGCATATGTAGCTGTAAAGCATTAGCAAGGTGTTAATCAGACTTCACAAAGATTGCTTCATGCCAACGATTCGGTTAATAAAAAGTAGAAGCAAGGGAAAAAAATCATAATAGATAATTAGAACATGAAGTCTCTCGTGGGAAAAGGCAGGATACAGGGAGGGCATAGCTGTAAGTAGGTTAGTCCCTGTCAGCACAATCACCACCCAGTTGTACCTTCATTTCACAAATATAGTTTTTAGAATTTAATGAAGTGCCGTTTCTTTGCGTCATGTTTGTTTATGAATTTCCCAGACTTGGAATCAAGCATCAAAACTTGGTTAAAGTTTTGATGAGTGACGCATAAAAATTGTCTAAATGTACTTAATATAATTAAGTACATGCAGGCCTGATTCTATTTTTAAGGAGGTTATTAATTTCCATTAAAATCCCCTTTGTCAGTTTTTTCACAGTCCTCAAGGAACATTCATTTCTATGTAAAATATGCATTGTGGCTTCCTTTTAGCAGACATGATTCATGTACCCTGCTAAATTAGCATTAGGGAGATTTAACTTTTTAATATATTTTTTTTACTGAAAGCATAATTGGTAAGTGACATTGTCTGGAAATCCCTGACACAGACAGGAAATCCAGAATCCCATACTTGCAATGCAAACTTTACTTAAATGATAATATCAGTCTTCCCTCATGGCGCTTTATTTTGTGCACTTGGCTGGTAAAGTTTCTACTACATTTGATCTCATTCAGTTAGACTGAAATCACTGCTAAGGTTTGATTTTTGGGTACTGGAGAATTTCAGACCACAACAACAGTATTTTAAAACTTACTAGAATTAATAGATTCCACCAACTTTGTATTTCTCATCGGAGTGTTTAAAAATCTGGGACTTAGGAACTTTCTATGACTGTATGAACTTTGGCTAGCTTTAGTGGCAGACTTCCTGCTGTCCAAAACCAAACTCTGTAGGTCAAGCTTTACTGAGTTTTCTCAGTAAAGCCTTAACTAGACAAAAAACAATGCAGTGATCTGTGCACAGTCAGTGTGTCTATGGAAGATGTACTGGGCAGCATCCCTGTTGATGTGATTATGTTTTTCATCAAGTCTTAACAGTACACAGAGCAACTGCTGTAACTACCAATATTCTGGCCATTCCTGACACACCTCACTTCTGACACCACTTCTAACATCTACTTATGTACCCCCCCCACAAGAAGGATCGAGTAGCTTCAGATAGTTTCATCTCCTGGTCATGGCTTGATTTTGCAAGTGAAACAATAAAGAAAAAATGAAAGAGAATGCTACCAAAAATTAGAAGTATGGATGATTATATGTGAGAAGTCAACTCTAATACCAGTAATATCTCTCTGTGGTGAAATGTATTTCTTGCATTATGTCACAAAGGAAAATCACCATTTAGAATATTCAAAGTAGTTAAAACAATAACCAGAAAACTATTCAACTTTCTCAGCTAATGGAAAAAAAAAAAGAGTGAGATCCTCCTCAAGCACAGTAATCATACCTTTTCCCATATTCAAATATCTGCTTGGTTTAGAAGTATGATTTGACACATTTGAAATGTTATTGAGAAAGAAGCTTGTAACAAACACCTCTGTTAACCCACTACAATTCCCCTGAGGAATCGTGAGGAGAAGGACAGATTGATGGCATTGCATGCTGATGGGAAGCAGCAGAATTCTGAAGAAAATTATTCTCTGGTATACCCAAAGCTAATTACCAAGAATATGCTGAATTTCATGATGAGCATGAGAAGGACTTAGAGTGCCAGATGCAATTAAGGCAACAAGGAACTATATGGGGAAGCTGAAGACTTAGAAAAGCTGAAAGAGGGTTTGGCAGATTTTGCCAATGACAGCAGTGATCATGACAGCAATGACCACTCCAGCAATCCCAGCACCTCTGTCTAGTTGAAAACAAAACACAAGAATTACACAAAGATGAAGCTGAAAAAACAATTCAGAGAAGTAGTGGAACCTTTCCATTATTGAGCAACACAACTGATCTGAGTTTAAAAGGTCATGGATTTAATATGAAACAGGAAGATGCTGAAAGGGCCTGATGGAAATACAATACTTAACTCCTCCTCTGTTCTTTTCTTACTTACAGTGATCAAAGAGTTATACTGCTGTTCTGGCAACACAGAATATTCAAAAAGTACGGAATTGCAGAAGATACTTGATAGCTGTGATGATTCAGAAGAATTTGACCACCCGACGATCTCATTTGGCTTAAAATAAACTTGGCTTTAATATTTTTTCCAAACTCACAAACAGGATAGGTACTGGAAAAGGAAGCAATCTATTGACAGTACATGGTGCCTGTGGACTGAGGTCACCTTTTACTCTGGGGACTTTTAAGTCAGAAGCTGAATTACTTGGTCTGAAAATGTTTTCATTATCATGGGTTGGTCTAGGGATGATGTAATGTTAATGAACAGAGGAGCTGCCAATAAACATGAACTGTATTTACAGACTTGGCAATGACACACAATATCCTGAATGTGTGGCCCCAACCTCAAATGCTGTGAGACATTGCTCAAGTAACAGCACAGATAAGAAGGCACAGTTTTTCTGACAGAGAAACTGTAATAAAGAGCTGCAGGTAAAGTTTCCTGGCATTGCATTCATTTGGCAATCCTTCTGATAAAATCCAATTAAATGCTTGTATTGAATTGTTCTCTCCTCGTTTTTCTTGTGCAGTGCCAATAGCCTTTGATCCAAACCACCTCCTCTAGCAAGATCCACTTTCTCCAGGGAATACGTGCATTGGAGGAGGAGGAATTGGGTTACTTCTCTCCAGTTCACAAATGGAAACAGCTCTGACTCAGCCTCATGGTAAATAAAAGCAGTGCTTTCTCTACCATAAGCAACTCTACTTTACATAAGCAGGCTATCTTCCCTGAGAGACTTACAGTTCAGAAATGACAGAATACCATTCTGCTCCACCTTAGTCCAGAAAATATGCTTTTATAAAAATTTGGACTGCCAAATTTTTACTTCAGTAGAGAAGTCCCTTGGGATAGGGGTGTAATCTGATTGAGATGATTAAGGCATCTAAAGAGGCAGGATCATCAAAAGAGAAATAACATCCCTTATATTTATTTTAAAAACTAAACAATGACTTGAAAGCAGAACTGGCCAGGGTGAAGTGAATGCAGTGTCATTGTAGAGTGGTTTGCATACTTATAAAAATAGTCTGCAACACTCCTGGTCATTGAGCACATCTGTGAAATTTGGAGGAAAAAATGTTCTTTTTGTACATGGGGAAAACATCTAGAGCATTTCTCTGAAAGGTCCTGCACTGTTGGAGCCCATTACAGATTTAAATTCAATCTTTACCACTTGATTAACCTCCTATTTGTAAGAAAAAAGTACATTTATCTTTCAGTGTGCCACCTCAAAAAAAAAACAGCATAAAGAATATTTTTTTTCTCTCCTTTTTTTAAAGTTAGGTATGTTATAATCCTAGTGTCTTGCCCTGACTGCTGGATACATGGCTTTTATGGTATTGCCTTCACACTCTTGTGTGGATGCTAATTTTGACCCCTCAAGGTGCTATAATTTTTTGACAATATGTAACAGAGTTATGAATTGGTCTTTATCTCATAACTACAACATTTTCATACAACCACAAAGAAAAATAAACATTTAAGAATTGCAGCTTATGACTACAGACCACACAAGAAACATGTGGACAGCAGTTCCTCATCAGAAACTCAGGGGAAGAAAAGGCTGTGTGTGTTTGAGCAGGGAGGAAGAGAGAGAGGAAATAAGTCATAATAAAAATATTATCAAAAGCTTGATTAAATCGATACTATAGCTAACAAATCCAAACCAAAAATATACAAGTTCTAAACAGTCACCATGACCAGAGAAAAGGTTTCCTAACAGTGATATCCATAGAGACAAACATTCTCTAAAAAGGAAACTATCTTTCTGAGTTCCTTCCAGTTTGGACTCTTCAGAAATAGTTAGGGAGGAGTAGTGTCTCTCAGGAGTTCTCACAACAAAAAGGAAGTAACACTCCTACAAAAACAAAATCTAGCAAAGATTAAGTGCAAGTTCTCTCCCATATCCCTCAGAGTAAAAGAAGTCTAAGGAAAAAAAAGAACAGTCAGAAACAAATTTTGAGTGACTACAACACCTTTGGGAAAAACTCCAGAGCTGATGTGGTGTTTTTATCATTAATGCACTACAGTATGGCATGGCAACACCATACTGAATGTAACAAAACTTTGCAAAATTGCTGCTAATTCTACACATGGGCTCACAACTACACTTCTAAATATGAGAGCATGTGGTCATGTCTGTGATAAACTGAAGTTCAGTTGCTTTCATCATATCTGGGCACAGCTAACACTACATTAAATTGACACCAGTACCAAACACACCAGCGTGGTGCTACAGCTGAAAGGATGAATGCAGCCCTTGCATGTGTGTACTGGGAAATACATAGTGCCCAGAGGGAAAATGTTACCTTTCCTCTACAGCACTAGTAGGTTTGCAATGGAACATGGTGGTTGAATGGATGGAAGCACGTATGCTCAAGGCTTTACATTTTGGAAGTAGCATTTAACAATCTGTGAAGACAGAGAGAAGAGCACCAAATTATTTCAGAGACATTAAAAAAACCACTTTAGTGAGAGACCTAGAACAGCACTTTGAAACCACACAAAGGCTTACTCTTGTCTCCATGCTGCACACCAGCTCCCAAGCAAAAAGGTGATACCTAGCCTAGAAACCCTCTTAACAGCCACACAGCTTTGGAGAAAAGGT